CACTTTATGTTGTCCAGCTGTTTTGTGTTGAGACAGGGGGATGCATGTCATGTCGCCGACCTGAATCTTCTTGCTGACATTGTCGATTGTGAGGCCACCCACATTCCCGGCCCTGTCGCAGCTCGCGACAGTCAAGCGCGCGACGACTGTGCGCATGGCAAGGTTGACAGCCACCATGTCAGAGGAATGTTCAAGGGCGTACTTTAGCCTTGGCCAGAGCCTCAGGGGAGTTGTACAGGGAATTAACGGATTTTAGGGTTTCCAAGAAATTCGGAAACTTAGCCTGGAGAAGGTCGTGGCGCTCCCTCGCAGCGCGCTGTAGCCTCGGAAGAGTTATTTCCTTGTGCAGCTGCTTCATCATGTGTTTGACACGGAGGTACTCTGGTGAACCGGGGTCAGCGGCCGCATCCAGGAGTACGTAAAGCAGCTTCCCGTAACTCATTGTGGCTGTTTTCGAGCAATCAGCAACATGCCTGCAAAGATAGGGAAGGAAAACGAGATTGATAATTAGGATAATCGCTGAGGACGGGGGTTGTGACAGGGGGTGTGGATCCAAGTACCTTAACCTTAGGAATGTCTCAAGCAAAATCCTGTTCAGTGCTGGTGTCTTCAAATCAGAAATTTCGCCTTTGTGGATCAGGAACCGAACCCAATTGCGACATAGCACTCTGTAAAACTTGGACGATCCCTCATTCACAATTTTTGATTGTTTCGTTGTTTCGTTGGGAGTGTCTGCAGAAGCTGCTGGTTTTCCGCAGTCAACTTGCCGTACTTATTTTCCAGATAGTGTCAACACTCACTTTCTCAATCGTTGCCTGTAAATACGAAAAGATTCAAAGGAACGTGTGGTGAAATTTTGAAAGTTTTAACCATCAGGACTTTGTCTCTGGATAGATATTTGTGCCAAATTTAGCAAATTTGCGATTTTAGGGGGCCCGTAGGTTGGCTTCCTTACTGGTTAAAACTTCGGCGATCACAGGGTAACTCAAGAGACGCAAAAAGAACGTGTGGTGATAATGTGGAAGTTTTAACCAGCAGTCTGGAAAGAAATGTGCTTCCAAAATAGCGAATTTTTGACTTAAGCGGCCCGTAGGTTGCTAGCCCTGGTGGTTAAAACTGGTTTTTGGTGTCCGTTGATGTTTTTGGACTTTTTGGGACC